ACAATTAGTAATCCCCTCCCAAATACCATGCCCCCCCTCCCGGTTTCAATGGCAGATGAAGCAGCAGCAAAGCAGAGGCTGACACAAGGACTACTACAGAGGAATGCTTCCTGGGTCTCCCCAGATAGGACTTATAAAGGATTTTTTTTTTTAAGGAAAGGAACTGCTCCTACACTATCTGACCTGGTGGAATCCACAAATACCCCAAAGAAGAGATGGTCCCTCAAATAGCTTGATACCATTCACTGAATGGACATTGGAAACCTTAAATTTTACAATGGAAGAACCTGGAAGCCAATGCAGCTCGTTCATCAGGGGAGGGCCTTTTCTGTGGCTGCTCCGGCCCTTTGGAACGATCTCCCCGTGGAGATTCGGACCCTCCCCACCCTTCAGGCTTTCCGCAAAGCCGTTAAGACCTGGCTGTTCCGGCAGGCCTGGGGCTGATGAGTTTCCAGCCCCACTCAAATTGCTGATTGTTGTGTGGTTTTAACTTGTCTTTGTATTCTGTCTTGTTCCGTTGTTTTTGTATCCCCCCTTCCCTATGTCTGTTCGCTGCCCTGAGTCCCTCCAGGAATAGGGCGGCATACAAGTCTAATAAATGGAATGGAATGGAAATACAGGTTGTTGTTAGTTGCAAAGTCATGTCCTACCCATTGTGTTCTACCCAAGAAACCAAATAAACATGGCTGATGCTGAGAGTTGAGAATAAATACATTAAAAAGTCCAAATAATTGGTGATGAACACACCAATGGAAGATCTGAAATACTAGGTTGGGGCTAGATTATCATGGAGAAATTCTATATCTGTGGTCACTGGGAGTCAAAAATGATTTGATAGCATACAATTAATCAGATAAAAGTAATTGGCTATTGGAAGTAATTTCACAATAGGAAAGATCAAGTTGTGCACACCATCATCAAATGGGACCTTAAGTTTTAAGCAAAATAACGATGTGTACATATAAACCAACATCTCTCTTGGAGGAAACATCCATTGGTGCTGGCTGCATTTAAAAAAAAGGAAAGCAGCTGAATCAACTGAAAGTGCAACAGGGAACTAAGTCAACATTAAGAGGTCTTTACTGAAATTTTGAGGATGAAATTGTCAAAAGGTTTGTGCAGAATATTTGTTTTAATTCTCTTTCAGGCAATGAAACCTGTTGAAGGAGGTTGGGTTTTCAAGATAGTAGATTAAGCATTGCTTTCTTCTGTACGCATATATTGCAATGCTCTGTCTACCATTTTGCTAATTTTGACCCCACCCCACCCCACCCCAAATACCACTACTTCCAAATGATTATAGCAGAACATCATAGTATCAATAAAAGACTACCCAACAGTGGTCCCAACCTTTACAGCTTGGCAGCCCAGTGAGTGGGGGAGAGAGGGGAACCGGTGCCCCCGTTCATGCAATTAAGCTACACATATCTGTGCGTCAGCCAGCCAGCCAGTCGCACAGCCTGGTTCCGAATGGACCATTGGCTGGTACTGGGCTGTGGCCCGGGGGTTGAGGACCCCTGCAATACTAGTTCTCTTCATTTAGCAACTGCCTCTTTTACCTTCATTCATAGTTACAAGAGTGATGAGAAATGTTCAGTCCTCACATTTATAACAGGTTTTTAAAGGGAAGCTGAAATCATACCATAAGTACCGATGTGGTTTTATTTAGCTTTGCTTAATGACCGAGCTGCCAATCCCAATTGTGGTCACTGAGTGAGGACTGCCTATAATATAGAAGGCGCTGACTTCCTAGGATACAGCTTCTTACCATTTTTTGGGATGCTTTCATAGCTTGCTTGAACGCATAAGATGAGGTTGATGTTGTGGTTGATATTGAGCCCCAAAAATAGGGGATCCCACTAGTATCCCAATGAACGTGTCTAGAAGAGGAGGCTTTATCATAAGAACGGACCAAGGGTGTTAAGCTGGTGTAGGACGTGGTTATCACATCATCTTCTTGAGTTTTCACCTATCAACAGAGATTTGTATAATTATAGAGGTGTTTTGGGAGGGGAGGCAGCCATTAAAAATAAAAATTTTAGTTTTTTAAAAAAAATAATTATTTGGAAAGAATATTTTTTTTAAAAAAAACATTTATATGCAAAAATGTCTACAGTTTTATATATGAATGCTGGGAGAGATTTAGAGATTGAGCCAAGTTCAGTAGTCCATGCATTAAAAAAACGCACAGGGATCCCATTTGCTTCAGCAACAAGCACATTTGAAACCCTGGTTTGGGTGTTCAAAGTGGGGACAAGGGTAATGGAACTGCAAACAACAAACCATCTGTTACTGTTGCAATCTCTTTCTCATTTGAACATGTGTCACAACATTGCAAGTAAGCATGGAGGAGTCAAGTTTGAGTCATGAAGTAGGCGAGGAATGGTGTTTGTGCTATTGAGACAAAATTGTGCTGGGCTGGCTATTTTTCTCCATGCCTCGGTCTCTTCAATTGCATACTGAGATGGCAATAACACCAAGATGATGGTCTCAACCATGCAGTTGAAACGCCATTCTCTTTTACTGGTGGGAAGGATTGTGTTTTTGTGGCTGCCACTATCTTGATTCTTCTGGATTTAACGGATTTTGGTTAGCTGATTTAAGATACATTAGGAATAACACTTAGACTTATATATCACTTCACAGTGCTTTGCAACCCTCTCTAAGTGGTTTACAGAGTCAACATATTGCCCCCCAGCAATCTGGGTCCTCATTTTACCCACCTTGGAAGGATGGAAGGCTGAATCAACCTTGAGCCTGGTGAGATTTCAACTGCCAAACTGCTGGCAGCTGGTGAACAGCAGAAGTAGGCTGCAGTACTGCATTCTAACCAGTTTGTATTAACCATTAAGCAGACTAAGCATGTGGTTAGGACACCAGGCCCAAGTGGGCACCACAAAGTTGGGAAAGAGGGAAAAAATCCAATGAAGATTTGTACAGTATGTACAAAGAAGGAAGGCACCAAGATTTGTCAGTCCTTAGGGCATTAGTGAGCCTTAATATGCCACTGACTCTAATCACTGCTCCTACTAGTGATATTCCCACTCAGCACCTGATTGATCTGCTCAGTATTAAATAGGTTCTTTTCTACTGCTTTAATACAACAAAAATGAACATTCCCACCAGGAGAGGCATATTACAGAGGCTACCAAGGACTGTTATTAGATAGCCGAGGTGGCACAGTGGGTAGAGTGCAGTACTGCAGGCCACTTCAGCTGACTGCTAGTTCAGCAGTTCAGCGGTTCAAATCTCACCGGCTCAG